AACTGTAAACGATATTGACAAGAATGAGGTTAGGAAAGTATCAGAAAAAGTGTTGGGAAAAGTATAATAGTCTTGCTGAGACTGGCTCCTACACATGTACTCTGAGAATGAGTAAGTAATGTTTATTTATATAGCACCTCTCACAGACCAGAGTCACAAAGGGCCTTACAAATGTCTCTCACTCCACACAGAGATGAGCAACCGGAGCACCCCGAGGAACCCTATACAGACACGGGGAGAATATGCCAACTCCAAGGAGAAAGGCCTGGAGGTGGAATCGAACCCAGGACCTTCTTACTAACCACTGCCCCACTGCGTCGTCCTGCCAACCGTAGTGTTAAAGCTGTGTCCAGACCACTGCTGCCTGGACGCACGCTCACTAGAATAAGTTGCATGAGTTCAGTCAGGCTGCCGTACTTTCCAGCGTTGGGAAAAAATGCGGGGCGGAAGTGGTGGGTACTTCCTTATCAGCAAACACTTTAGCAGCACTTGTTACAGTCACAGTAGGACTCAGGGTGAAGGGTGAAGACACATGTTACAAGCACCAACCAAGCCCCGGTGATCCAAGATGGCGCCCTATTCAAATGCATGGCTTGTGCTCAGTAGCGCATGGGACTTCACGGAGACCGGGAGATTAGAGGAACTCGGCTATATTTGGGCATCGTCTGGTCCTCCCGGTTTTGCACAGTGGATTATCTCCCATGATGCTTTGTGCCAAATACGCGTGTGTGGCTCTCACGCACGTGCACAGAGGGGCTCGGCCGCGCTTTGACCAATCAGAGCTGCTGATCAGAGCAGCGGCAGAGCGGAGTCAAAGCGGGAAGGAAAGGAGCAGAGTTTGTGACAGTAAAGTGTGGATTTAAAGAAAACCGAAGGATTTAAGAAGAAAAAAAGTTCAGGATGACAAGGGACACTAAAATCCCCACAAAATCTAACATTTATGAAAGCTGTAGGTTCTCTGTCAGGTCCTCTGTCAGGGTCTCTGTCAGGGTCTCTGTCAGGTTCTCTGTCAGGTCCTCTGTCAGGGTCTCTGTCAGGGTCTCTGTCAGGTTCTCTGTCAGGTCCTCTGTCAGGGTCTCTGTCAGGGTCTCTGTCAGGGTCTCTGTCAGGGTCTCTGTCAGGTTCTCTGTCAGGTTCTCTGTCAGGTTCTCTGTCAGGTTCTCTGTCAGGTTCTCTGTCAGGTTCTCTGTCAGGTTCTCTGTCAGGTTCTCTGTCAGGTTCTCTGTCAGGTTCTCTGTCAGCTGAGGTCGAGCTGTTTTAATTTACATTGAGTTCTGTGGGACTTTTTTCTGGGTAGCCCACGTGAATTTAGTCTGCAGTACCACAGCGCCCCCTGTGCCCATGGGTGGGACAGCTATAAGCTAGTAATGCTCTATCCAGTTATTATCATAGATCCATGGGACTAAGCCAATCCGTGTATCATTCGTTCTTTTGATTTTCTAAATAAAACCAACATTGAAAAAACAAATAACGAGGGATGTTTTTGATTCTCAATATTTGAATTTAATGCAAAATTGAAATATCGGTTTGTTTTTGGTTTTCTGTGGATCCAATTAAAACGAAAATGCAGTAAACCAATAATGATCGTCTAAATTACTTTTTGCAATTTCCATTTGAAACACAAGAATCCCCCGGAAGTGATTCGCAAGTGCGCACCCCGCAGGTAAACAGTGGAGTAGCGGGGAAGATGAACTAAATGATGGGTGCGTTGGAAGACTTTGCAGATACAGCGATAGAATGCTTCTAAAACATTCAAACATATGCAGAAATATCAACCACGTTTCACCGACTAGGTTTGTCCAAATGTCAAGTCATCAGCTGAGTCATGTCCCTTCTTTTTGATACAGTGGTTAATCACGAAAGCAAACTTTTTGAAGTGGCTCAGAGAAAGGTATTCTGAGTAAATGTATTCATTAAACATGGATCATGTTCCTGCCCAATATATACATACATATATATATATATATTTTTACATATCAGCCGCCTTAAAACTATTGCTGCTCCATCTCTTTTTCCTGGAATAATTTTATTGCAACATTCAAGAGGGATTCTGTCTCCCGAGGCTCAGGAATCACAGCTTGTTGTGTTTTGGCAAATTAAGAAGGCCAAAGACTAAATTCATCATGTATGTAAATCTTCTGTGTGTCTGTTCCAGTGTAAATATTTTTGATTTGTTTGTTCCCAAATTAAAACACACTTGGACCCAATTCTGTAATTTTTTTTCTAAATTGTGTTGAATAGCAATGGAAAACCCGTTAAAACAAATACTGTTAGTGGATTATGTATCAATAGATTTATGAATTAGGAAATGACATTCTTATCTAAACAAGACTGTAAAATGACAAGTTGTGTATTTGAATGTACCTTTACAGAACAACTTACACCTCAGACTTCCTTTCAGCAGCAACATGGGTCCAATTTTATTTAGACTTTACTAAGGACTTACATGCAAGCACAGGATCCAGAGCTAAGAATGAAAGAATAAAAAAAAAAAAAAGCTGTGTTAAAAAGACACATAATCACATATTTACAGCAAGTCACACATACAAAGAAGCCAGTGACTCCAAAGTTTAGAAGTGAACCTGACTGAGCTGATGTAAGGGCAAACCAGGGACTGTACAGTACTATTAGGTACCATCATGACTCTACACATAAACCCTGCACTCAGCAAACATCTGACTGGACGACTGTGTCTGGGATCTTCAGCAACGTCCTCATTCAGTCATAGGAAACTGTTCACCTCTGCAGACTGACTGCTTGTAGCTCCGCCACAGTTGGTTTGTGAATAAAGGAGCACAAAAAGACTGGAACAAAGAGGTTTATACATTCACAGAGCACGTTAGACTTCCTAACCAGCATGTTAGATTGACCATACAGTTTACATCTCTATCTGTGAGGTCACTGCGTGTGTAATGCCCATTAAGACCAGGACAACTGGATTTAAGAACAGTTTTTACACTTTCAAATGTGACAGAACATAATGTACACTGATGAGTACGTGCTTTTTCATGCAATGATTCTAATTTTGTAACATAAATTTACAATGATAAACACGAGTTGAAAGTTTAAAATGTAAAGGAACAAAAAGGAGATTTGTAGATCAGTTATTATTAATTTTATTGCATTGACATAAACACATCCATCTTTGCAGATCACTGGTACAGGCCAGGACCAGCTGGAGAGCTTTGCAGATCACTGGTACAGGCCAAGGCTGGGAGTAGTGTGAAGTCTGAAACCTTTACCTCCTGCACACCCAGTGAGATCTAAAACAGAAAAGTGGGTTTAGAACAGACATATAATTATTACTTGTTATAACTTAACTATCTTATAAAGTCAGAAGAGAAATAGTAACCACCAAACAGAAAGATGCTATGCTAGTCTTCTATCAGGACAGGAACTCAAGCTGAACATGAGCCCAGCGGCTTTGACTGTTTCAAACCTGCAGTCTTTCTGACTGTTTCAAACCTGCAGTCTTTCTGACTGTTTCAAACCTGCAGTCTTTCTGACTGTTTCAAACCTGCAGTCTTTCTGACTGTTTCAAACCTGCAGTCTTTCTGACTGTTTCAAACCTGCAGTCTTTCTGACTGTTTCAAACCTGCAGTCTTTCTGACTGTTTCAAACCTGCAGTCTTTCTGACTGTTTCAAACCTGCAGTCTTTCTGACTGTTTCAAACCTGCAGTCTTTCTGACTGTTTCAAACCTGCAGTCTTTCTGACTGTTTCAAACCTGCAGTCTTTCTGACTGTTTCAAACCTGCAGTCTTTCTGACTGTTTCAAACCTGCAGTCTTTCTGACTGTTTCAAACCTGCAGTCTTTCTGACTGTTTCAAACCTGCAGTCTTTCTGACTGTTTCAAACCTGCAGTCTTTCTGACTGTTTCAAACCTGCAGTCTTTCTGACTGTTTCAAACCTGCAGTCTTTCTGACTGTTTCAAACCTGCCGTCTTTCTGACTGTTTCAAACCTGCAGTCTTTCTGACTGTTTCAAAGCTGCAGTCTTTCTGACTGTTTCAAACCTGCAGTCTGAGGGCTCCTCGTTTCTCTTCATAAGCCTGAAGCATCTAGCTCTAACTACTGTCCCTCGACAATATTTGAGAATGAAGCAGAAACAAAGCACAATTAAATGGTTAAGGTACATCTAGCATCATCTTTTATTTACTAAAATTTAGCATGATTACTTTCACCAATACACAAACATATCATGTCCTTATATAATATGAAAGTCTATAACATACATTTATAATAATAAAGCACTCACATTAGGTACATTTGTTACATGTGTAACGCTAAGTGTTTCATGTTTGTCGTAGCTAATGCCAACTTAGCTGTTAGCGCTAGTTGCTAAGTTATGTCTTACCTTGACACTTGTGTATATATTTTTCATCGAAGAACCCCTTCTCTCGTGAATCTGAGAATTCTCATCTGCGATGGTCTCTGCAGCAGCGAACGAAAAAGCTGGTAATCTGACTGATGTTGAGGAGAGTTTTAAGAGACATTTCTCCTACAACCAGCGCTAACAAGGTGCGATCCAAGTACCTGGAGGCGACACTTCCTGGTCTCGTGACAAACGCGCACTTTAGAATCACTTCCGGGGGACGTTTGTGTTTCAAAGGAAAATCGCAAAATGTAATTTAGACGGTCATTATTGGTTTACTGCATTTTCGTTTTAATTGGATCCACAGAAAACAAAAAAACAAACCAATATTTCAATTTTGCATTAAATTCAAATATTGAGAATCAAAAACATCCCTTGTTATTCGTTTTTTCAATGTTGGTTTTATTTAGAAAATCAAAAGAACGAATGATACACGGATTTAAGCCCCATGCTTTGTGTTAAAAAACCAAGGATAATGTCATAAAGACATAATGAGATAGAAATAAACTACACATAGAAACAGAAAAGTCACAAAGTTATGAAGACCAAGAATGAACATGAGCTGAGGAACTACACTTGCGAAACTTAAACCCGTCAAATTGACTGCTGTGGGAGGAGAAAGGCACTCACCATCCGGACATGGTGAAGTCTCTGTAGAGCATCCTCTTTCCCACCTCCTTCCTCTGCACTCGCCGAGGAAACTCCAGGTGCGTAAACTCATTCCCCAACAAGTGCGGCTGCATGTAGGCCTAAAAACACACACAACACACACACACCACACAGAACAGAATCAACAACTGCGGCTGCATGTAGGCCTAAAAACACACACAACACACACACACCACACAGAACAGAATCAACAACTGAGGCTGCATGTAGGCCTAAAAACACACACACACACAACATACACAACAGAATCAACAACTGAGGCTGCATGTAGGCCTAAAAACACACACACACACAACATACACAACAGAATCAACAACTGAGGCTGCATGTAGGCCTAAAAACACACACACACACAACATACACAACAGAATCAACAACTGAGGCTGCATGTAGGCCTAAAAACACACACAACACACACACACCACACAGAACAGAATCAACAACTGCAGCTGCATGTAGGCCTAAAAACACACACACACACAACATACACAACAGAATCAACAACTGAGGCTGCATGTAGGCCTAAAACACACACACACACACACACAACACAATCAACAAGTAGTAAGTAAGTAATCTTTATTTATATACCGCCTTTTCACTGCACATCGGAGTCTCAAAGCGGTTTACAATTGTTATTTTTGGGAGTGGGGGTCGCCGGTACAGGAGGCACATGCCAGACCTATTGTACATATTTTTAGTGGTAGGGGAAACCGGAGCACCCGGAGGAAACCTACGCAGACACGGGGAGAACATGCAAACTCCACTCAGAAAGGCCCTGGTCCAACCGGGATTCGAACCCAGGACCTTCTTGCTGAGAGGCGAGAGTGCTAACCACTCAGCCACCGTGCCCCCCGAACAACTGAGGCTGCATGTAGGCCTAAAACACACACACACACACAACACAATCAACAACTGAGGCTGCATGTAGGCCTAAAACACACACAACACACACACACACACACAACAGAATCAACAACTGTGGCTGCATGTAGGCCTAAAAACACACACACACACACAACACAAACAACAACTGCAGCTGCATGTAGGCCTAAAACACACACACACACACACACACAACAGAATCAACAACTGCAGCTGCATGTAGGCCTGAAAACACACATACACACAACACAATCAACAACTGTGACTGCATGTAGGCCTAAAACACACACATACACACACAACAGAATCAACAACTGTGACTGCATGTAGGCCTGAAACACACACACAACACACACAACCGAATCAACAACTGCAGCTGCATGTAGGCCTAAAACACACACACACAACAGAATCAACAACTGCAGCTGCATGTAGGCCTGAAACACACACATACACACACAACAGAATCAACAACTGCAGCTGCATGTAGGCCTAAAAACACACACACAAACACACACACACACACACACACACACGAACAGAATCAACAACTGCGACTGCATGTAGGCCTAAAACACACACATACACACACAACAGAATCAACAACTGTGACTGCATGTAGGCCTGAAACACACACACAACACACACACACACACACACAACAGAACCAACATGACACACTGCGGCCTGAGGGCTGGAAACTCTCCTCAAACACAGAACCATTAAACTGTTGGAGAAGGAGACGGGGAGGAGGGGGGTTCTAACACGAGGCAGCTGTGGCTGGGACTGAAGCAAGTACAATGTTAAACTGGTATTATTTAATGCATTAACTCATTTTTACCTTGTTGAAAACTAGCTTGATGACATCTCCTCTTGTTATCTGTTATTCTATCTGTTTAATTCTCCTCGTGGGACAAGAAAGAGAACTTTGAACTTTGAACTTGAAATAAAATCTTTTAGTTTTGTACCAGAAACTGCAGCCTCTGTCTCTCCGACTCTGGGGTGAACTCTGACGACACCGGGACGACTTCTCCAGACCGGATAATGATGGCTCTGAAGACACACACACACACGCGCACACACACACACACACACACACACACACACACACAGGACACACACACACACACACACACACACACACACACAGGACACACACACACACACACACACACACACACACACACACACACGCGCACACACACACACACACACCCAGGACACATGTTTAATGCAGAGAAGAAGAATCTATGGTACAGTCTCATACAGTCTGACACTAACACTCAGTATTCTCATGTGACCCACAATAAATGCAAAACTGGTAAATATCTATTTAGTAATGTTGTTTGAATGTATTTCAAGCTGCATGTGGAGCCCCCTGCTGGAGAGGATGGGAACAGCAATATCCGCTCCTCTTTCTACTTTATCTGACATCATTATGACTTCAGCTGTAGTCGATGCAAAGGAAGGTTTCTCACCCATCATCTGTACTTCTTAGCAAGTTTTCCCGACGTTTCGTTCTCAAACCAGCGGACTTCTTCAGGGAAGTTAGACCTGCTCCCTTCTACATCAAACCTTAGATTGTTTTTGAGTTACTATCAGGATTAGGGTGTGGCTAACAACACCCATATGTTATAAATCTCCAACGCGCGGTCTGAGAATTCATTCCCTGAAGAAGTCCTTTGGATTGAGGACGAAACGTCGGGAAAACTTGCTAAGAAGTACAGATGATGGGTGAGAAACCTTCCTTTGCTTTGACTAATCCCTGTACGACTGAGGGCTTACACAAACTTCAGCTGTAGTCTGTTCATTGCTATTCACCCGCTGTCCCATTGTCAGTTTGATGGTGTTATGATGGGAGCCCTGAATCCAGCCTCAGTCCTGGATCTACAGCCTCAGTCCTGGATCTACAGCCTCAGTCCTGGATCTTCTAGCTGAGGCTGTCCTCATTTAAGGACATGTAAGAACTGTTTGATTCTCTAATCTTTTGTTGACATAACGACAACTTCTGAAAGTCTAGTGTGGCGGCTGCTGTTGTGATTTTGGGCAAGATACAAATACATTGAATTGAATTATTTGACTTTGGCTGAGGGGAAAAATATTTATTTATTAGTTTATAAGCATAGTATCTTTTAGACAACGTCAAAATAATGACAAACAGAAAGATGTGCTTGAATAAAATTGCAAATGTATCGATTTATGCAAGAATATGCTGACTTAAAATAACATTTGACAATAGAAAAAACAAATTTACTGAGTTCTTTGGGTTTCTTGGCAGCAGGAAAATCAATACAGAACTGAGTTTCTGAAGCTTGAGTTTGATTAGAACGAAAAATAAAGCTTCTGTTTTTTCCTTTCATTTGTTTCTGGGACAATCACACAAATTGTGAGCTCAAGGAGAGCTCTGACCACAGTGCTGCACTCTGAAAGAGGACTGAGACCAGAGAGAGACCAGAGAGAGACGAGAGACAGACCAGAGAGACCAGAGAGACTAGAGAGAGACCAGAGAGAGACCAGAGAGAGACCAGAGACAGACCAGAGAGACCAGAGAGAGACCAGAGAGAGACCAGAGAGAGACCAAAGAGAGACCAAAGAGAGACCAGGTCTCTCTCTTGTCTCTCTCTGGTCTCTCTCTGGTCTCTCTTTGGTCTCTCTTTGGTCTCTCTCTGGTCTTTTTGACATTTTAGTGCAACTTAAATAAACGTATACTGAACATGTGTCTGCGGTTCTAAAGTCAACTAAATGTGTCATATCTATTTCTTTCACAAAACGTGGTGAGAGAGCAATTTATGGATTCATTTTTCAATAAAAACAGTTGTTGTGTTATTTTCTGAATACTGGGCTGAAACTTCGATGGTTGAAACTCAAAAAAAAAGTTTTGGTTAGAGATTGAAAGCACTCATTTCGGAATCAGAATTCACGTTCGCCGACATCAGATTGTTTTGGTATCGACTCGGCCCGGCCAGAACCAGGGCCAAACTGTTATGGTCCTAGCTGGATTCGTCTGCATATCTGGCAACCTGAGTTAGAGAGAGCGCAGTACCATTTTTCGCCAGATTTTTAGATATTGCTCCTTTAAAGTTGATTGGTTGCTAGGCTGTTGCTATGAGAGTATTTTACCTGCTGTCTCCTGCGTTCCCCACGTAGAGGTTTCCCTGTAGATACACCACCACCAGAGCCGTGCAGCCTCCGGACACGTTGTACACGGATTTCTCTCTTTCGATCTGGAAATCCTGCAAAAAACAGACAGTTTTGTTGTTGTTCTGGAGAGAGAAGGGTGTGGGTCTCTCCGACACACTTAGCATGCAATATGGCCGCTCACAGGGGTAACCGTAGCAACAGGCTACTCTCACTGCGCTGCCAGACGGAACTTTTCAAGAGATCTTTTGTTCCTTTGGCTGTCAGAGTGTCCCACTGACCACAATGTGCACTATTGTTAGTAGTTTACTCAGTTAGTAACTTTTAGAATTCAATATTTATGTGTTTGTTTGGATGGTTGTGTTCCTGCTGCTGTTCTGTGGTACAACATCACAACAAAGTGCCGACATAGAAGCAGATTACGTATAAAATAAATGACAAAGACAAATAATTCAACTACTGTAGACGACGTTTGTGAATCCGTTTTTGTGCTTACGTTACTGCATGAATTAAAGTCGCAATATGGAAGATCATGGAAGTCATCATCAAAGGTCCTAATCTGTCAAAAGGCATTAATTAAACCATGCTCTTTTCCAAAACTTCTTTAACTGATAATTAAAGAGTTTCAAAATTAGTTTTACAGAACTAAAAAAGGTCTCGTTATGATTCTCAAATCATTAACGACAAAACAAGGAATAAAACCAGGATTTCTATCTTTGTGAAAAAGGTGTTGGTTATAGATTTGTTGTTGACAAAACTCTTGTCTATTCAGCTGTTATGGTCCCAGCTGGATTCGTCTGCATATCTGGCAACCTGAGTCAGGGAGAGTGGGACAGGCTGCAGTACCACTTTTGGCCAAATATATATATCATTATCTTTACATATTTCTCTTTTAAGCTAAAAACAAATCTGTGTGTTTTTAATTTAAAAAAAAACCCCAGCACAGACGAAACAAGAAGCAACGAGACGCAAGGAGAGAATCACACCAAGATGATGGATCCGAGACTAGTTAATTACCTCTGATTAATTTGCCGTTAATTAAAACCAAACCGCCGTTAATCAGATGGAGAACGCCTTAATCACGGCGCTGGTTTTAACCCTCTGTGCTCTGAACGCTCTGGATCCTGTTATTGTCTTTCCCTCGGGTAGACTTTGGTTTTTGCTCAGTTATTCTACAAAAAGGAGCGCGGCCTCCTGCTGTGAGCTCAGAGTGTGTTTTATCAGCGAGAACCGTGATGAGAGCCGAGACGGGGATGACCAGAATATTTGATGTTACGCAGCGCGGCGGGTGACGGCTCTATCTGAAGGGGACGTGGTTTAACTTTTAGAGACCTGGACTTGATTCCGAAATGTTCTATTCTGTTGAGCTGCAACCACTATTATCAGAACTATATGTTATTTAAGAATTAGAATTAGACATTTATATGTTGCTATGATGTGTTTACTATTCTCTATTATGCTAAAGTTAGAGATTTCAACTAGCTTCTTTATTATGCTAAAGTTAGAGATTTTTTTATTTTCAGACAAACATGTGTGTCTGTGTGTGTGTCTGTGTCTGTATGTGTGTTTGTGTGTGTCTGTCTCTCTGTATCTGTGTGCATGTGTCTGTGTGTATGTCTTTTAGGTGGGTGTACAGCAGGGGTCTCCATCCTTTTTCAAAGAGAGAGCTACTTTTATACAACAGATGAGGCAGAGAGCTACTCCTTTTTGCAGTCGTAATAACAATCCATCTAACAATTAGGACAAAACATGGAAAAACACCATAATACTGTATAGCCCTATATCTATATTTATAATAAATATGTAATGAATCAAAATGTATTCATCCATCCATCCATCCATTTTCTTCCGCTTCATCCGTTGCCGGGTCGCGGGGGCAGCAGTCTAAGCAGAGACGCCCAGACTTCCCTATCCACACACACTTCCTCCAGCTCGTCCGGGGGGACCCCAAGGCGTTCCCAGGCCAGCTGAGAGACATAGTCCCTCCAGCGTGTCCTGGGTCTTCCCCGGGGCCTCCTCCCGGTGGGACGTGCCCGGAACACCTCCCCAGGAAGGCGTCCAGGAGGCATCCGGAACAGATGCCCGAGCCACCTCAACTGGTTCCTCTCGACGTGGAGAAGCAGCGGCTCTACTCCGAGCTCCTCCCGTGTGACTGAGCTCCTCACCCTATCTCTAGGGGAGCAGCCACTCTGCGGAGGAAGCTCATTTCGACCGCTTGTATCTGCGATCTCGTTCTTTCGGTCATTACCCAAAGCTCATGACCATAGGTGAGGGAGGGAACGAAGATTGACCGGTAAATCGAGAGCTTTGCCTTTCGGCTCAGCTCCCTCTTCACCACGACGGTCCGATACAGCTCTGACTGCAGACGCTGCTCCCTCTTTACCACAACGGTCCAATACAGCGACCGCATCACTGCGCACGCTGCACCGATCCGCCTGTCAATCTCACGCTCCATCCTTCCCTCACTCGTGAACAAGACCCCGAGATACTTGAACTCCTCCACTTGAGGAAGGACCTCTCCACCCACCTGGAGAGGGCAAGGCACCTTTTTCCGGTCGAGATTTTTCCGCTCGGATTTGGAGGTGCTGATTCTCATCCCAGCCGCTTCACACTCGGCTGCAAACCGTCCCAGTGCATGTTGCAGGTCCTGGTTCGTTGGAGCCAACAGGACAACATCGTCCGCAAACAGCAGAGATGAAATCCTGTGGTCTCCGAACCGGACCCCCTCCGACCCCTGGTTGCGCCTAGATATTCTGTCCATAAATACAGTGAACAGAACCGGTGACAAAGGGCAGCCCTGTCGGAGGCCAACATTCACCGGGAACAGGTCTGACTTACTGCCGGCAATGCGAACAAAATGTATTCATTCAAGATCATTTGGTAAATTCTAAATCCTTTGGCGAGCTACCTGAAAGGGGCTAGCGAGCTACTGGTAGATCACGAGCCACAGGATGGAGACCCTGGTGTACAGTATCTGGTGTGGACACGGACAACAATGGAAGTGGCAGCCAGGACTAAAATGAAACCAAGGCAGAGTTGCAGAAAAAACTAAACTCTTTGGATTGGAGCAAAGGAAGGTTTCTCACCCATCATCTGTACTTCTTAGCAAGTTTTCCCGACGTTTCGTCCTCAACCTAGCGGACTTCTTCAAGGAATGAATTCTCGGACAGCGCGTTGGAGATTTATAACCTATGGGTGTGGTAAGCCACACCCTAATCCTGATACTAACTCATAAACAATCTAAGGTCTGCTTGATGTAGAAGGGAGCAGGTCTAACGACCCTGCTGAGGCTAACGACCCTAACTCATTAGCATGTCACTGACCTTGTCCCAAGTTAGGGCGTTGTTTTTAGGATGTCGTCATAGATGCGAGGCAAAACAAATCTTAACCCTCCTCCTCTGTTAAGAGAAGGTTTTTGTTTCCTCACAAAAATGGCTTCTTTCACCCCTCTCTCAAACCAATTCTTCTCCCGAGCCAGAATTTTAACCTCTGTGTCATCCACCGTGTGGTTGGAGGCCTTGAGGTGGAGATGAACAGCCGACTGTGGCCCACTAGAGTTTTCTCTACGATGTTGGTAAAGTCGTTTCTGTAGAGTTTGTTTGGTTTCTCCAATATAGTGGTCAGTGCACTCCTCTTCACTACATTTAATTGAATACACCACATTGCTCTGTTTGTGTCTGGGTGTTTTGTCTTTGGGATGCACTAATTTCTGTCTTAACGTGTTGAAAGGTTTGAAATACACAGGGATTTTGTGTTGCCTAAAGATTCTTTGTAGTTTCTCTGAAACTCCCGCCACATACGGTAAGGACACCCCTCTCCTCCTACTTTCTTCTGTCTGTTGGACTGTGTCTCTGGCCTTTCTCGTCCTTTGGGCTTTAGTAAAAGACCACTTGGGGTAGCCACATCTGGAAAGTGCTCTCTGAACATGTTTGGTTTCTCTGTTCTTTCCCTCCGAGCTTGTGGGGACCTGGTGGGCTCGGTGTTGAAGCGTTCTAATGACCCCGAGTTTGTGTTGTAGCGGATGGTTTGAATCAAAGGCCAAGTACTGGTCAGTGTGAGTGGACTTTCTGAAGACCTCAGTCTCTAATTGTCCGTTCTCACAAATCTGTAATTCGTCCGGAGTTTCTTTCCCTTCAGACTTCTTTGGTAATGAATGGAGCTCCGTCTGTTTCTCAATATGCCGTAGTGCCGCTACCGTTATCACTCCCTGTCTTTCATTTCTTTAATTCTGTTTCTGGTGAAGCAGACGACTCCTCACCTCCGCCTCACACTCCGCTGATCTGAGCTGGAAGTGATGACACCTTCTCTGCCTTTTTCACAGTCACAGCTCAGTGTTACACGCACGATACACGACTCACACGTGTGTCGTCAACAGAACAATATTTTAACATCGCTTCTTCTTTTAGTGGAATTTATATGAGAAACATATTTTAATTGGCAATAATTAACCTCATTTAAAGGAGCTATACCCGTTTCTGCAAGGTTTTAATGTTTAGCACCGCCCCCAACTCGCTCACAGGCTTCTTATTTCCCCTACGCTCTCATCCCACGGAGCCATCTAGTTTTATTTGCGATTTATATACAAACGTTAGCATTAGCGTAACTTCTCATAAGCTGTACAACAATCCCTGATGAAATGGTACAAAAGCAACGCACTGCTAACACAATATATAACTGAAAGATTACTGCTAGTTTTGCGTCCGAATGTGGTCCGAGCGTAGATAGTCCGAGCGTAGATAGTCCGAGCGTAGATAGTCCGAGCGTAGATAGTCCGAGCGTAGATAGTCCGTAGATAGTCCGAGCGTATATAGTCTGAGCGTAGATAGTCCGAGCGTAGATAGTCCGAGCGTAGATACTCCGAGCGTAGATAGTCCGTAGATAGTCCGAGCGTAGATAGTCCGAGCGTAGATAGTCCGAGCGTAGATAGTCCGAGCGTAGATAGTCCGAGCGCAGATAGTCCGAGCGCAGATAGTCCGAGCGTAGATAGTCCGAGCGTAGATAGTCTGAGCGTAGATAGTCCGAGCGTAGATAGTCCGAGCGTAGATAGTCCGAGCGCAGATAGTCCGAGCGCAGATAGTCCGAGCGTAGATAGTCC